TCCAAACTCTTATCGTCTAATTCAAAAAAATCGGCTGAAAATAATAAATTAATAGAAAACTTATGCTTACAAAATCAATATTCTCTTTAACTAGAGACAAACAAAGATAGCTAGCCACAGTCAAAAGCAATGAAAGGCGGTATCTAGAGGACCTCGATATTGTCAGTGTAGACAAGGCTAGTAGGAGATAAAAAGAGAAAAATAGGCCGCATAAGATTTAAACACTGGAAAAAATCGCGCGCCATAATGGTTGTAAATTTGATGGAAATATGATGTAAGTGTCCAAAATGATGTAAATTTGATGGAAATGATTTACATCAAATTTACATCATTTTGGACACTTACATCATATATACATCAAATTTACAACCTTTTTAAAAGCGTGCGAGTGAAAATTAGTTTTGATCCGTGAACTGTGTATAAAAACCTAAAATTTAAACTCGTAAAAAGCTGCGATTGAATTAAGTTTACAGATAACCCATTTAACTTGATATCTCCGTTGTAATAATGATCTCATAGATCGACGGCAGCATGGCAGAAGTGGTCTTTAACACAAGCCATGAATCACTCCAAAGACAAACCAAAATTAACCAGTAACACATGATTTTACAACCCCAAAATCGTTCAAAATCACCACGCCCAACTTTCTCATAGTGCATTTAAATTTTGAGTGGCATTAGTGTATGCAGCATTGCTAACATGTATCATTACCTTTTGGTCGATTTGATGGTTTAGCGGCTGATGGCTTGCCAGTCGGTCGATTTGATGGCGTAGCTGATGGCTTGCCAGTCGGTCGATTTGATGGTTTAGCTGATGGCTTGCCAGTCGGTCGATTTGATGGCTTAGCTGATGGCTTGCCAGTCGGTGGATTTGATGGCTTAGCTGATAGCTTGCCAGTCGGTGGATTTGATGGCTTAGCTGATAGCTTGCCAGTCGGTGGATTTGATGGCTTAGCTGATNTTCGTTGGATTACCGGTGTGTGCATTCGTTGGATTACCGGTGTGTGCATTCGTTGGATTACCGGTGTGTGCATTCGTTGGATTACCGGTGTGTGCATTCGTTGGATTACCGGTGTGTGCATTCGTTGGATTACCGGTGTGTGCATTCGTTGGATTACCGGTGTGTGCATTCGTTGGATTACCGGTGTGTGCATTCGTTGGATTACCGGTGTGTGCATTCGTTGGATTACCGGTGTGTGCATTCGTTGGATTACCGGTGTGTGCATTCGTTGGATTACCGGTGTGTGCATTCGTTGGATTACCGGTGTGTGCATTCGTTGGATTACCGGTGTGTGCATTCGTTGGATTACCGGTGTGTGCATTCGTCGCGATCGATTGCTCTGAAGATGGGGCCTCATCCAAACTCTCATCGTCTAATCCAAAAAGATCGTCTGAAGAAAACAATAAATTGCTGATTAAACTTTATTGCTAAAATGTATCACATAGATACAAAAGCCTGTCCCAAAGTTACGGCGACATCTTTGGGACCAAAAGTCACTCAAAATTGCCCCGGCAAAGATGCTCAAAAAATCTATATCTATATATATTTCTATATCAACTACAAGCACCGCCGTTCCTTGATCGCTAAACACTTTTTAAATCTCCAAACTAAAAATGTATGCTATGCAATATAATTACTCAATAATAAATGCAAAACTATTTCTATTTCCAATATATAGAGAGACCTCGAATGTCACAAAATAACAACTTTTCGAAGGAGAGAAATAATTATATGATAAATATATAGGTGCAGCATAGATATAATTACACTTGGTAAGCAATATTTTATTACTCAATGATAACATGAATCAGAGTTTTTTTACCATATTCAAGGTCATCCARATATTCGTAGGGTTTTGCAGCAGCAAGTCCTAATATCAAGAGAAGAAAATGCACAGCTTTCATCTTGGGTCCTGCAAAAGTCGACCTGAACACATGAACTGGTAGAAGTCGAATGAATAACTCAAAATTGTCTGTTCATACTAATACCAAAAGAGTGTAAAATAAACTAACAAAGAAAAACCCTTGGACCCGGGGGGGTACTCCCCCCAAACTTGGGTGGGGGTGTGCCGCTGGGACATCAAAACCCTGATCCTGTTCCAGAGTGAAATTATCGCTGAAAACTATACCCTCCCCCCTCCCCCCTCCCGGGCCCTTGGAGTCCAATTCATAGAGCGTTTCTGAATGGTCTATTCATGAACTGTTTCAAATGTGAACAATAACAGTATTTTTGATAGAATACACCGACGCACGCCKTCGTACATTCCTCTGGAGTTATAAAACAGACAGCACGCTTTCATAATCTTTAAGGAAAATTTTAATTTTTTTGTTAAAACAACAACCAATGTTTGACGTATTAAGACCCAATTCTTTGCAGTTAAGCATTTTGGGTTGATTTCGATTCACAAGGGAAAAAAACAAGTCTTTTTCAACATTGCCTTGCATCGCATTCACTACACATGCGGACAGACTTTATGATTCATGACTCAGTAATTTAAAACTAAAACAATCTAGAAGCATAGTTGATTCAGTGATATGGATATAATCAAAACAACTTCTTTGTATGTATTATTTTTCATGCAGCGAACAACGCCTTTTCCTACGCTCTGTGCTAGTCTCCCTGGTAGTCACCCCCGCTTTTCACTGTTTAAAACAAAATGGATTTGAAACTTGATTTTAGGCTTTTGCATTGAGACACAGATAATTAATAGGTATTAAATCGATTTGCGTATGTGTGTCGATCGAAAAATTAAACCTCGCCTGATGAATTAGGGATCTTTTTCCCTTGCAAACCGTTATCACTCCAAACTTACTAACGTTTCAGGCAATATTGTAGTATATATAAATTTTCAATGCTCATTTAAGGAAACTATTTCTACTGAAAATATATTTTCGATATAAAGCGAAATAGAAAATTAATATGTTCAAGCTGTGAATCCCTGCAGGGAACATAGTTACATAAAAGTTCAACCACGTTCCACGACCGACTCAATGCAAAATTATTAACTATCCAGTGTTTTGCAAGAGAAACTATTCATAATGACTGGTAATTAGCCACACTTTTTATCTTTTGTGTTGAAAAGGCTTATTATTCCAATATTATTAGTTGATTGTTGTTATTATTCAGCAAATATTAAACACCAGCCCTCGTCTATGGCATTTCGAGGGGTCTTTCGAGGGGCGCTGTTATAGGACAAGCTCTTACGGCTAACGTCTGATCGATTGATTGCAAGGTTAATTTTTAGGTGACGTTTAAAGAGGACGTTAGTTCATAAAATACTAGACTCTCACGAATGTAAAATACCGGCTGAAGTTTTATTAAGTTTGTGCGACAAACCGTTGACAAAACAACAACGGTATCTTGTCTACATGCTGCTAAGCTTTCGTCTAGATTTAGGATGCGATGACCTTGACAATCAACCAAGTACAAAGACAAAACCTTTTTAAGGTTCCCGCTACGATTTTAATTTCAATTTTATTGTATAATATATGCCACTGAAATTTCTAAACGGTTCATCTTTGAATTTGTGATAGCTATGAAATCCCAGTGATTCATATATAGTTTTTAGATATTAAAATACTATTTTGTGGTGATTCATATATAGTAGCGGGGGACAGGGAGCCCGCCACTAAGAACGGCTGCGAGGAGACTAATTCATATTATATAGTTTTTAAAATATTACGTAAAATATCTATATTGTAGGTTCTTTGACTTTAAACTGTCGACACACGTCGCACGCACCCTATTAGTTTACAGACTCGTACCCAGTTGTTTCTCTTGCTCGTTTTACAGGTCGCGTTGCATTAGGGGAAGTCCGAACTTCCCTTGATCCTTTGCACGAGCCAGAGAAAAATGAAGAGTAACGACGGGGTACGAATCTGAATCTAACACTTTGCGTAGCTTTGCATTATATGCATAAAAAGACGAATCTTTTGTTTGACATATTGGTTCATTGGCGTATACTAGCACTTCATGTTTTTGCCCAACACCAAACAAGCTCTGGATATAGAAAAAAACACTGCCATTGAAAATTGGAGAATGGAGCTTGCCATATGAAGCAGCTTTTAGGCCAAACGGTTTTAAAACTCAAACTTTTGGATAGAATTTTTGGAAAACTCTTGCTTTCGACTGCCGCCATGCATATAGTTGAACCCCTAATATCTCATAGTCCATGGATTGTGAAAACCTCAAACCTATATTATAGTTCTCATAACTCCTTTTTAAGTTATGAACTTTTGCTTTTCTTAAGGTCCAGTTTTAGTATATTTTGAGTGTGTCGTTCCCGTCAAAGTTTAAAAAATAAATTAAAAAGGACGCGCAACGAGTAAATAACTATTGGATTGCAGATATAGTGTTGTTGAGTCTATTCGTGTACGGCACTGATTTCAGAACTATTCTCAAGTGCTTTTTATTGAGTAAATTGCATACAACAAGTTGTGCTATACTATGTGTTGGAGAGCATATCTCTCGTTATCTCGTGCATGAGTGAATGTTTCAGTATTCAAGGCCCAATGTCCACCATTATGCTTTGGGGTCCGCGAGGGCATGAAGGTAGCCTGAGTTCATCCAGCGTTTACCCGTAAACACGGTCTGAGAAACAGTGCACGCTATCGTGTTCTCTGTGATAATTCTGAAAATAAACCGGATGTACGCAGGCTAGTGAAGGCGGCCATTTTCAGTTTACAGAAAGTCTATAAATTGTACTGTGCGTTTCAAATCTTTGACCATCTAACTTTTCTAAGCACTTTAAAGGCCAATATTAGAGTTTTCAATCATCTGACATTCGTTTTATGATGATATTTGGATACTAGAAGTATTTTGGTGTAAATCATAACAATAACCAAGGCGTGCAAAGCATAATGGTGCAAACTGGGCCTTTGATTAGATTAAAAGNACCCTTGGAGTCCGATTCATAGCGCGTTTCTGAATGGTCTATTCATGCACTGTTTCAAATGTGAACAATCAACAGTATTTTTGATAGAATACACCGACGCACGCCGTCGTACATTCCTCTGGAGTTATAAAACAGACAGCACGCTTTCATAATCTTTAGGGAAAATTAATACCAACCAATGTTTGATGCATTAAGACCCAATTCTTTACAGTTAAGGCATTTTGGGTTGATTTCGATTCACAAGAAAAAAAAACAAGTCTTTTTCAACATTGCCTTGCATCGCATTCACTACATGCGGCCAGACTTTATGATATCATGACTCAGTAATTTAAAAACTAAAACAATCTAGAAGCATAGTTGATTCATTGTTATGGATATAATCAAAACAACTTCTTTGTATGAATAATTTTTCATGCAGCGAAGAACGCCTTTTCCCACGCTCTGTGCTAGTCTCTCTGGTAGTCACCCCCGCTTTTCACTGTTTAAAACAAAATGGATTTGAAACTTGATTTTGGGCTTTTGCATTGAGACACAGATAATTAATAGGTATCAAATCGATTTGCGTATGTGTGTCGAACGAAAAATTAAACCTCGCCTGATGAATTAGGGATCTTTTTTCCCTCGCTTGCAAACCGTTATCACTCCAAACTAACGTTGCAGGCAATATTGTAGTATATATAAATTTTGAATGCTCATTTTTTAAGGAAATTATTTCTGAAAATATATTTTCGATAAAAAGCGAAATAGAAAATTAATATGTTCAAGCTGTGAATCCCTGCAGGGAACAAAGTTACATAAAAGTTGTCAACCACATATTCCACGACCGAATCAATGCAAAATTATTATAAATGATTAAAAGAATCGAAGTATGTCGAGTGCGCTAACTATCCAGTGTTTTGCAAGAGAAACTATGCATAATGACTGATAATAATAGCCACACTTTTTATCTTTTTGTGTTGAAAAAGCTTATTATTCCAATATTATTAGTTGATTGTTGCTATTATTCAGCAAATATTAAACACCAGCCCTCGTCTATAACTTTCGAGGGGCGCTGTTATAGGACAAGCCCTTACGGCTAACGTCTGATTGATTGCAAGGTTAATTTTTAGGTGACGTTTAGAGTGCTCGCACTTAAAGCGTGAAACAAATAGTAATAATTACTAATAAATAGTGTTGATTATACAATAGGAAACAAAGGAATTTGTATAATTTATCACCTATTTTGTAGTATTTATATTTCACGCATTTAGTGCGAGCACTCTAAAGAGGACGTTAGTTCATAAAATACTAGACTCTCACGAATGTAAAATACCGGCTGAAGTTTTATTAAGTTTGTGCGACAGACCGTTGACAAAACAACAACGGTATCTTGTCTACATGCTGCTAATCTTTCGTCTAGATTTAGGATGCGATGACCTTGACAATCAACCAAGTATAAAGACAAAACCTTTTTAAGGTTCCCGCTACGATTTTAATTTCAATTTTATTGTATAATATATGACACTGAAATTTCTAAACGGTTCATCTTGGAATTTGTGATAGCTATGAAATCCCAGTGATTCATATATAGTTTTTAGATATTAAAATATCTATTTTGTGGTGATTCATATATAAGCGGGGGACAGGGAGCCCGCCACTAAGAACGGCTGCGAGGAGACTAATAAACCCTTTTAGCGATCTGTTTTACGCTGTGTTAGCCTCAAAATCATGTAATAAATTCTTTTATTCACAACAGCCCGTGCAAATGCAAGAGATCTGTGAGTATAGAAGACAATGGAAATAGTTTGAAATCTCACGAGTTTTATCTACATTTCTGAATATTTTAGCACACAATTGAGACAAACACAGCGTAAAAGAGATCGCGAAACTCAACTATTCACATATAGTTTAATATCTATTTTGTGGGTTCTTTGACTTTAAACTGTCGACACACGTCGCACGCACCCTATTAGTTTACAGACTCGTACCCAGTTGTTTCTCTTGCTCGTTTTACAGGTCGCGTTGCATTAGGGGAAGTCCGAACTTCCCTTGATCCTTTGCACGAGCCAGAGAAAAATGAAGAGTAACGACTGGGTACGAATCTGAATCTAACACTTTGCGTAGCTTTGCATTATATGCATAAAAACATGAATCTTTTGTTTGGCATATTGGTTCATTGGCGTATATTAGCACTTCATGTTTTTACCCAACACCAAACAAGCTCTGGATATATGGAAAAAAAACGCTGCCATTGAAAATTGGAGAATGGACCTTACCATATGAAGCAGCTTTTAGGCCAAACGGTTTTTTAAAACCGTTTTTTAAAAAACTCAAACTTTTGGATAGAATTTTCGGAAAACTCTTGCTTTCGACTGCCGGCATGCATATAGTTGAACCTCTCATAGTCCATGGATTGTGAAAACCTCAAACCTATTATAGTTCTCATAACTCCTTTTTGAGTTATGAACTTTGCTTTTCTTAAGGTCCAGTTTTAGTATATTTGAGTGTGTCGTTCCCGTCAAAGTTTAAATTACAAAGGAAGCCCAACGAGTAAATAACTATTGGATTGCAGATATAGTGTTGTTGAGTCTATTCGTGTACGGCACTGATTTCAGAACTATTCTCAAGTGCTTTTTATTGAGTAAATTACATACAACAAGTTGTGCTATACTAAATGTTGGAGAGCATATCTCTTGTTATCTCGTGCATGAGGGAATATTTCAGTATTCAAGGCCCAATGTGCACCATCATGCTTTGGGGGCCGCGAGGGCCTGAAGGTAGCCTGAGTTAATCCAGCGTTTACCCGTAAACACGGTCTGAGAAACAGTGCACGCTATCGTGTTCTCTGTGTTAATTTTGAAAATAAACCGGATGTACGCAGGCTAGTGAAGGCGGCCATTTTCAGTTTACAGAAAGTCTATAAATTGTACTGTGCTTTTCAAATCTTTCACCATCTCACTTTTCTAAGCACTTTTTAAAGTGGCCAATATTAGAGTTTTCAATCATCTGACATTCGTTTTATGATGATATTTGGATACTAGAAGTATTTTGGTGTAAATCATAACAATAACCAAGGCGTGCAAAGCATAATGGTGCAAACTGGGCCTTTAATTAGATTAAAAGTCTTCAATCCAGTTACCACATAGTCCTACCAGTTGTCAACATCAAACTGAAGGACCAACCTACAAAATGATAGTTTATGTCAGTCATGTCAAGCTTCTGGTGGTAGTTGGGATTGGTCGCTAACAAAATCTTGA